CTCGTGTTACTTTCTTTGTCGTGCTTAAGGCATAATGAACATGAATTCTTACGTTACAGCTTGTGATATTTGCTTGAAAGAGTTTAGAACGACTAACGCACTATCAAAGCATAAATTGGTAAAGCACCAACAAGAAATAATAGGTCAACCATGTTTTCGCATTGGAGGAACACCGTTAACGCTACCTCAACCCAAAGTGACTAACATTTCAGGATTTTCTGCATGGATGAGCGCTCTTGTTGAAAGTATCAACTCCAGTCTTAATCCTAAAGCAGCTGGTAAGATTTTCATTCCAATGATCATTTGATTGGTTTTATGTATTTCATATCTCAGTTTTCAGGCATGACCAACACAGTCATGCACATGGCATTCAGTGTTACAGAGTACCCTTCTGTACATGTTGTCAAATACTAAAGCTTCCACCTTTTAAGTTTTCTATTTATACATCAAACTATAATACTCAGACTTTTTTTCAATGTTTTTCTAATTTACCAATGTGTTGTTTGAAGGGCGGTKGTTCAAGGTAACTAGAGAGTTCTGTCCGATTGAGTACTTGGAAACAATACTCTATTATACACCGAGCACTGTGGCGAATCAAGTAAAGAGAGTCAAGCACTTAAAACAGCCCGTTTGGAGAAAATTGGCAACTAAAATCTCGTACAAATGCTATTCTATCGTGGAAGTTAGAACGGCTTTGAACACTMATTCGGCAATATCGTTGGTCGAAAACCAAGCTTACTATGGAGATGAGGAATGCGAAGATGTTAGAATGTCCAGAMGGCAATTGATAGCTCTAACAAAAGCCCAAGTACGAGGAGAGGCAACTCCGCAAATGCCTACTTTTCGATCGTCAATGATTGTGGGCCGCGGTGAAGGAAGAGCGACCAGAGAATTTGAGATAATCTGGTGGCCAGATCTGTATTCTCACGTGGCACACTGTGGAAAACTGGAACTAAGATACTACGTGGCAAAACGAGCTGTTATGTTGTGASAAAAAAACTTATTCTAGTTAAGATGTATCCATTTGTATTTCACGATTTATAAATTATCAACAAAAACACACTTGATCCATTTTTTAAAGTTTCAAATACGGTATGTTGGAAAACCTCTTTAAATATTCCTGCGTTGCTTGTGTATATCATTTACATATTAACAGAACAGAGCAGAATCTTCTATTGAACCGGGAACTGTAAATTATATTATTCTAAAAAACAACTTGATTAAAATTGACTATTACGCATAACTTAAATATGACTATAACTTAAATATAACTATTATATACGATTGACTGGTAAATCACAGCAATAGAATTATTGATTTTAGCAATCAATCAAAACAACAGGGTAGKGCGTCCTTTGTAATSCGAACAAACACAACGATTAGAAGCGATTGAAGTTTCCTTACAAGTCTGAAATACTTTCGTAAGATAAATGACTATAGATTTTGCTAAATCCGCAAAAAAAAGCAACAACAACAAAACAATGCCGAAAACAATGCCGGTCGAATAGTATTTTGAGTTCATTGACCGCCAGCCGGTCAAATGGACACAGCGTAACACTGTTTGCGCGTAACACTGTTTGCCGTTTTATTACTTGTGGATATAAGATAAGTAAAGATGAATTTTATCCGAATACAATTCATTCTATATATAAAGACTTCCACATTTTTCTAATATACAATATTTCCGTCTTTTTCCTTCCTAGTTAATGATTATTTAGGGGTTTCAAATTAAGTATTTACTGCAGTTATGCTTGGCGTACTTTAGCCACTAATCCTTTAAGTAAGTTGATGACAGACATATGAGATTTCTTATGACGCCCCATCTTTAAATACGTGACAACATCTAGAGGTAGAACGAGCATTATGTTACATAGTCTATTGATCAAGCCGGTTGGCACCCTATTGGGATAGGGGCTATCATAGGCCCTAACCGGTAGGGTGCCAAAATCCTAACTCTCATGACTCTCGTCATGNTGATTATTTAGGGGTTTCAAATTAAGTATTTACTGCAGTTATGCTTGGCGTACTTTAGCCACTAATCCTTTAAGTAAGTTGATGACAGACATATGAGATTTCTTATGACGCCCCATCTTTAAATACGTGACAACATCTAGAGGTAGAACGAGCATTATGTTACATAGTCTATTGATCAAGCCGGTTGGCACCCTATTGGGATAGGGGCTATCATAGGCCCTAACCGGTAGGGTGCCAAAATCCTAACTCTCATGACTCTCGTCATGCAAGGAAGTTCACTTCACATATTAGCCATTCAGTCTATGATTGTGTTGATGCAATAATTGTTGAAAACTTGTTGTCCAATTAGATTCTCAAACGTATCACATATATGACATCAGTGTTCAGGGAGTGGATTAAATCAGGCACATAAATTGCTTTTTAATTAAAGTGGGACTATGTTTTTTCTTTTAGCAGGTTGGTTTTAAGGATAAGAATAAAGAATTATTAATCTTCAATGATTATTCTTATATAAATTCGTCCACTTTTCCGACTTCCTTTGTTCACCGACGTAGATTAATTTCAGCGTGTTCTAGTTTTCTTGTTTGCATTGCAACTAGAACTTATGTGATATCATGATCTTGACAATAGCTGACAAAATTTATTGTCCAATTAAAATCTCAAACGTATCTTCATTACTGTGACATCAGAATGGAGATAAGGTCCTGTTTAGTGGAACTATCTTTTTAGTTTGCAAGCACGTTTATTAGCAAAAGAGTAAAGTATTATTAATCATTAATGGTTATTCCGCATCCACTTCCCCAACTTCATTTGGTCGTTAACGTAGGTTTCAGCGTATTCTAGATATTTTCCTGTTACTYTGCAACATATGTTTGCATTGGAACTAGAACATGATATGATATCAGGTGAGCTTTGAAGTCCGTCACGCAACGGCGCAGTTATTTGCTGTCACACTGTCGCAGCCTGAGTTCAAATCCCATTGCATTTCGGGAAGCGATAAAGAACTTCAAATGATTCAGATAGAACAGATTTCGTATGTCTGTGCAAAAAAACACTGCACTCTCGTGCTATGTCTGAATGCTGTGACGGTGATGTATTCTTGATTCCGTACTCTTATCTTGATGACTGCCAGGCGAGATTCCGTGACCGTGCCTTTGCATAGTCATACAACATCCGCTCTAGTCGCTACGCACAGCGCTGGGAAGAAGCAGGGATGAACAATATTCATTAGATCATAGAGTATCGTGTATTGTGTACATAATTATCTTATAAAACTCATTAATATTCATAAGGCAAAACACAATAGAAATCATAGTCCATGAAGAGAGTTGTATATTACATACACTTCGCCCGATCATTTTGTATATAAAATAGATCGAGTATTGTGTATTGTGTATATTAGATCATACAGTATTGTGTATTGTGTATATTAGATCATTGAGTAATGTGTATCGAATCTAAAGTCATAACATATATCCATATTTTATTTATTGACAATAAATAATAACAATTAATCAAAATCGGAAGAAAACGATACTGAGTCATAGAAGAACACAGCAAACATTGGGATATGAATACGAATTTGAGCTACTGACGAATAATGAAATTTCCAATGCTCTTTATTTGTTCATTACATCTCATTCAAAAACAAATCTTACATTCTCTTTTCAACATTTAAGCTAAAACAGTTTTAGTTTTGAATTGGCCTTGACGTGCAACTCTTTCAACAATGTTTTGTCAAATTCATTTTTGTCAAGCTCTTATGAAGCGATTAATTTTCGGAATATTAATCTGGTCAAATTAAAATATCGTGTAGGTAGTTTACGGATCTACGTAGGGCACTTAACGAGTATGAATAAAACATGAGCTATGCAAGATCAAATTTTCCAATGCTCTTTATTTTCTTTTGCGATCTTCATTAACTTTTACTTCTGATTCAAAGAGAAGACTACGTACTAAGTCTCTTTTGAACTACATTTTTTCTTATACAATATTTTTATAATTTTTAGGTTTTATCTGCGCCGTGCGTTTGCATGTAAGGACGAGGGACTACTGAGCTAAGATATAACCATAAGCTGGGTGATTCTTCTTCGCGCAGTTGCCGGTGGATATTTTACCAGCACGGCAATTAGTCTTATAATTATCCCCACCAAATCCAAGGTGCGAATCGTTTGTCTTACAGTCATTTTCGTTATTTGAACTTATCCCAATTCTAACAATTGAAAAATAACCCGTTTTATAGTTAGAGATGACATTAAATCCTTCTTTGTTACAGTTCGTCTGCAATGATGAGCCCGCGATCAGTGACATCCATTTTTTTCGGCCGATGGAGACTTGACGGTATTTACCGTCTGCGATCACAGAGTACAGCGAACTTGCCCTATCATTCAAATTACTTTTGTTACTGAAATTGGAAATTTACAGCTTACGATAGGAAAGGGGTACGTGGGCTCAGGGATCAGATCTACTTGCGGGATCACGGATCACATTGATATTTTTTGTGCTTTGGAATCAGAGTTTTAGATTTAGATCAGTGTCTCAAAGGATAAAGGATCACAATTCCTGTATCAAAGATCAGACCTTTGCACTAGGATCGGGAAACATGCATCACTACTCACTTGTAGTCCAATCGAATCCATCTCGGGTTCTTCTGGCCAGCGGTCTTCATTCCAAGACATAGACTTTTAAAAGGCAGGGTCCAGTAGGTGGGGAGTTTGGTTTCTTTATCATCGACGCCTGATTGGCCATTGGTCAGTTTATAAGACTTTTTATTGGACCAAAAGGCAGATGAATACGGGAACGTTTTCTGATGATGATAATAAAAGGTGATTGTTCGTTTTCTTGTCCACTTAAGAATTTAATATACTTTGACAAAACTTCATTTTTGTTTGTTTGTTTTATTTTTACTTGAAAAGCATCAAAGGAAATAAAAATAATAGTGATAATGAAGGAGACGATTCGGCTTTAACAGCTTCATCAGTGAATGCAAAATGCCAACCAGTATAATTGTACCTTCAAGAGTCAGAACGTTTCTAATATATATAAGAAAATATTGCTTTATTTCCATGGATCTACCCTTGCAGTTACCTTGTTKCCATTTGTTTTCATAATGGTAGTCCATCCACCCCCACCACACCCAGAGATATCCTCCATGTAGCAGTACACCTTGGTCACTGTTCGGTGTGTCTTGATGTAGTAAACGCCACTTTTGGCTGACCTTCACAAAGACATTAAAGCAGTAACTTAGAACCCACAGTTCCCTGCGACATCTTGAAAGCTAGCCGTGCCTTTGAATCGAAGAGAGACGACCGTTGAGCATGCAATGATAGAAACCCTATTTCACACCTACAGACAATTATTTACAGGTATCTACCATTGCGCGCTCAACGGTTGCCTCTCGCTTCAATGTAAAGGCACGGCTACTTTTCAAGATGGCGCAGGTAACCGTGAAGAAGACTATTCACTTTCGATCATTCTTAATGGCTTTGCATGATGAAGCAGGATTTCCCATCGAACCAAGATGGCCATGGCGACAGTTTCTTACGACGTAACATCCTTTGATTATCACATCTCCTTTCAACGACACCCAGTGCTGCTGGTTATTGTAGTAGTTAGCGAACACATCTCTCCTAGAATTGGATAATAATGCAAAATTGTGTGTTATGGAAAAGCCGATCAATTTTCCCTTTTAAAAAATATGTTTGGTTTAAAGTTTCAGTCATGGCCAGAAATCCGGACATTTGAGTCCGCAATCGCAGCGGTACTTCGGATAAATGCATAAAAACATGTTTGTAAATTTTACAAAGAAATGTATGGATCAAAAAAAAAATATTTGAGAATAACATTTCATCTGTTTTAACTGGAAAGATTCCATAGATGAATTCGTAGAGGGAAACTATTCTTGATTCCACTGTAGGAAATCCAAATAAATCCAATATTGTTAACAGCGTCCTTTTTGACAATTTATTTTCCTTTCGTCGTCTCCCTTTGGCCTTGTATCTCATGGTGAAAATTCGCGAAGCGAAATTTCACCGTAGCTGATCGTGTTCCTTTACATGTCACTGATTTCCATAGATCATTTCTCAAAGTCCACATATTGAGGTAGGAACACAGCAATTTTCAGCTATTTTGAAGACGATCAACAGCATCCTTTTTGGTGCTAGAAATCGTACAATTTGAAAACACTAACTTGACGGTGAAATGGCTGGCGAAGACGCGTGTTTCACGCGAATACTTGGCCTGATCTTCCAATTTATTATCCATGTTTGGTACCAAGATAAACGTTAGAAACGTGGCTTTCAGACTGGGACTGCTTTAATTTTGGCGGTTTTTACTGGCGCCTTGCGCGCAGTGGTAAATAGCGGGAAATACGAACGAAAGATCAAGTCTACGCTATTTAGTGTAAACAATGTCAGGCCTTTTAAATTCCTTAGAAATGTACAAGTATAAACAAAAGATCACAATATCAACTGATGATCATTGTTTAAAATACCTGAGGGAAACGTGTGTTCCAGCAAATAATATTATTTACACTATGAACACCTCACAAGCCACTAATGAACTCAAGGATCAGGGCGTGCTATCCCAATACTCGTTTGTCGATGTTTTGAACGTTTCGATTTTAGCCCAGTATATTGTATTATGATAAAGGATCGTTGCACAAGAGTAGAAAATTTGATCTTCAAAAGTTCAAACCTCAAGGGAACTTGTAGAAAGCTCTATTTTGGTGGGAAAACCCACTGACTCGTCCCGGGCTCAAATGTCCGGAATTTCTGGCCATGATATAAATCTCAAATAGTAAAAACGTCATGAGCTGAGTCATTTGTTTTTTTACTTGCTGACTGGATTTCTAAGTCTTGTAGAGCATGCTCGAACTTCGTGGCAACCTTCAACTTGAAGCATCACTTTACCAACGATCAGCACTCTACAATCAATGCAAAATATTATCAGAAAAGAAGACGATATGGTTACAGGTCGTTGCTCGACAAGAAAAAGTAAACGTTTGATATATGCGGAAAATATAGATTCAAGAAAACACGTCAATCATTATGGACTCCCTCCATGCTACTTGTGCTTATCATTCATTTTCCTTACTCTAAAATCTTAACTAATTTTTACTAAATGAATAACGTACAGTAACTTTCATTTGAGTGTTCGTCGAGATCGCGCTCTGATAAGCGCTCGATCGTGCTCGATCCAGCAAACGTACGCTCCAAGGAATTAAGATCATAGTTTTCTAAATCAGAAATACAATCGGAATGACCGTATGGTTGTGATTTTAAAATACTGTTATCCGGCATGTTGTGAGTTTCACGGATGATAATCACTTCCATTTTTAAAGTATAACTCCTGAGATACTCACTCCCGGCCAGTTTATTTTAAAATCATTTATCAAATCATGAACCTAAAAAACTCACCTTGTTGTAGCATATGTCTGCATAAAGAGAAAACACGGCACAACGAGAAGAAGCAAAATCTTAGCCACCATACTTGACCAAGTATGACTACAGTTTGATCTGTGAAGTTAACAAAACAAAGACCATTTTAAGACATGAATTAAGAAGGCTTGAAGAAAAAAGGGAAGAGAGAGAATCAAGCAAATTATAGATTATAGGAGAAACGATGATTAACGGTAATAGTATTACGGTAATTTACGGTAATTATAAAAGCTAAACTTTTAACCATAACCTCTTCCTAATGGTCTATCCCGTACGTTTGCCTTAACCCAAAAAGTCACACAGTAAACACGTTAAATTTTCATCGTTCATGAACTGATGGGACAGCAGTGATTCATCCTTAGTATCCCCTGTCTGAGAATTATTACTGGAGTATCAATTCTTACCTTAATTTTCGTTCAATTCAGAAGATAGGGAAGTGCAACAGTGGCGAACTAGGGACTGCAGGTCTTGTTTTTATACCTTCTGCTATAGTTTTATCGTATCAAGGAAGTTCACTTCACATATTAGCCATTCAGTCTATGATTGTGTTGATGCAATAATTGTTGTCCAATTAGATTCTCAAACGTATCACATATATGACATCAGTGTTCAGGGAGTGGATTAAATCAGGCACATAAATTGCTTTTTAATTATAGTGGGACTATGTTTTTCTTTTAGCAGGTTGGTTTTAAGGATAAGAATAAAGAATTATTAATCTTCAATGATTATTCTTATAAATTCGTCCACTTTTCCTACTTCCTTTGTTCACCGACGTAGATTAATTTCAGCGTGTTMTAGAGTTCTTGTTTGCATTGCAACTAGAGCTTATGTGATATCATGATCGTGACAGTAGCTGACAAAATTAATTGTCCAATTAAAATCTCAAACGTATCTTCATTCAGGGAGTGGAGATAAGGTCCAGAAGCTGCTGTTTAGTGGAACTATCTTTTTAGTTTGCAAGCACGTTTATTAGCAAAAGAGTAAAGTATTATCAATCATTAAYGATTATTCCGCATCCACTTTATTCCCAACTTCATTTAGTCCGCGTTAACATACGTAGGTTTCAGAGATATTTTGCTGTTCCTTTGCAGCTTATGTTTACATTGCAACTAGATGGTGAGCTCTGAAGTCTGTCACGCAATGACGCAGTTATTTGCTGTCGCACTGTCGCAGCCTGAGTTATCCTATTGCGTTTCGGGAAACCAAAAAGAATTACAAATGAATTAAATGATTCAGTCGACAGTCGATACGCATTCTTCCCTGCACATAGAGTACATTATCTAGTATCAAATCTAGTAGCCATAACATCGCTCCATATTTTTCCACGACTCAAACCAATATTTCTGGATTAACAATAAATAATAACAATTTATCAAAATCGAAAACACGATACTTAGTCATAGGCGAACACAAACGGTGAGGGGAGGGGAGGGTATGAATACGAATTTGAGCTGCTGACCAATGATGAAATTTTCCAATGCTCTTTATTTTCTTGTGCAATCAATTTCAATTAAATCTAATTCAAAAAGAAAGCTTACTTTCTCTTTTCAACATTTAAACTACAACAGTTTCAGTTTTGAATCCGTTTCGAGTATTTTTAATTATCAAGTGCAAATCTCTCAACAATGTTTTTTTTTCAAATTCATTTTTGTCAAGCTCTTTTAAAAAAAGCGATTAATTTTCGGAATAAATCTGGTCAAATTAAAACATCGTGTTTAGTCATGATTTCTACAAAATTACTCTAATATTAAACCTTGTATGAGTGCAGCTGTGACGTTATGTGAATATGTGGCAAAAAAGAGGGCTTCATCAGTTCAGGAAAAATATAAAAAGTGTGGTCGAAAAATTCCAAAATTCTAACAGCTTGACAAAATTAAAATCAAGTAAACAAAGTTGAAATGGCACTCATATGTGCCGTATGTATTTTCAAGAGGAATTACATAGCTAAGATATAACCATGAGCTGGAGTAGTGTTGTCTCCGTTGTCACCTCCAACGCGTGCGCAGTTACCGGTAGATAGTCTACCACGACCGCATTTTATACCATCCCCCCCGAATCCGATACGCGAATCGTTGTTGTAACACGCGTTTTCATTATTCGATGATATTCCAATTCTAACTCTTTCGTGGTTGACTTCGCCAGGAACAACATTGAAGCCTTCTTTGTTGCAGTTCTTCTGCAATGACGAGCCCGCGATCAGTGACTTCCACACATTGCGACCAATGGTGACCTTGCGGTATTTACCGTCTGCGATCACAGAGTACAGCGAACTTGCCCTGAAATTCGTTAAAATTACACATGTCATTGACTGCATCATCCCAATTTTGATAGTCATGATTCACATCTTATGCCGTGAATTTGATTATTTAGCTGAGTCAGCGATCTGCATTCAATACTCACTTGTAGTTCAATCGAATCCATCTCGGGTTCTTCTGGCCAGCGGTCTTCATTCCAAGACATAGACTTTTAAAAGGCAGGGTCCAGTAGGTAGGGAGTTTTGTCTCTTTATCATCGGCGCCTGATTGGCCATTGGTCACGCGATATGGAATTTTATTCGCCCAAAAAGCAGATTTGTACAAAAAGGTTTTCTTTGTGAAAGAATAAAAACGTGTTTATAAGACTTTTTATTGGACCAAAAGGCAGATGAATAGAGGAACGTTTTCTGGCGATAATTTGAAAATGAATTCTGACCATTGCTTGCCAGATATAATAAAAGAGATTTTAATAAATTGTGCCTTACAAACGTCTAACGTTTTTCCTATTTCCATTACAGTAAATCAATAACAAAAAATATTTCATTATAAAAATATTTCTACTGTTTTACCTTCTTTCCGTTAGTTTTCATAATGGTTGTCCATCCATACCACCACCACACCCTGGGACATCCTCCATGTAGCAGTAGACTTTAGTGACTGTTGGTTTAGTCTTTATGTAGTAGACGCCACTTTTGGCTGACCTATTTCAACAAAATAAACAAGGCTGACTTGTAAGAGTTGCAGAGATGTGAATTTAACAAACTGCGCACGTTTTTTAGTTGTATGCTCTCTCATTTGACACACTCTTGACGACCGCGACCACGCGAAATTTTGAAGATTTTACAACGTCATAAGTGGGTCAATAAGAGGACATACATTGAAAACCCGTGCGCAATTTGTTTTTTACCACATTATCACAAGATCATGTAATTAATACCAGCAATGAACGTTTTAAAGGAGTCCTTGCTTTCACTGATAAAATCAACGTTGGTATGTAGATTATGTGATGCTAAGTGAACGTTGACCTCTCAGGCCCAAAAGTAAATGATACCATAAAATCATAAACTCGCCTTTTTGTTATTGATAAAAAATGTTTCTTCTTGTTCTAATTTGAAATCTTTGCCCACACAGGACTGCCTAACGCTAGAAAGGCCATTGATTTAGTTTCGTAAGCATACTACTCGAAGCACCAAGCGATCTGCACATACGCGTACTTATGATTCCTAGACTGATGCATTCCGATGAGATCACAGACACCACATTTGTAAACGAATAGTTTTTTTGTCTTATAAAACTCATTAATATTCATAAGGCTAAACACAATAGAAATCATAGCCCATGAAGAGAGTTGTATATTACATACAGATTTCTTGTTCATTTGCATAAACTTTTACTCTGATTTTCTCAGTCAGATTGAATTTTTTTTCAAAAGTTTCTTTAAAACCTGAGCTAATTTACCTTAACGTTTTATAAGTAATATACAATATTCGCGTGCGATCTGTATGAGGTTTAAAACAGCTCGCTTTCAGCTCGCTGTTTTAAATCCTCATACAGATCGCCCGCTCATATTGTATATATTACATATAAAAGCGCAAGTAGCATATAATATTTACTAACGATATTCGTACATCAATACGTTTGAGCTTCCGGTCATGTAATAACACAGCCAACCCAATAGTTAATCATTAAATTCTTAACTTCCGGTGGTCCAAACGCGACATAATACATAGATAGATTGGCTAAAAGGTAATTAGTCGGACTAGCCGAAGGTGGTCCGACTTTAAATTTACCTTTTAGCCAATCTATCTATCTATCTATCTATGTGTCATGTCGCGTTTGGACCACCGGAAGTTAAGAATTTAATAATTAACTATTGGGTTGACTGTGTTATCATTTACTTTGTAAAGTATTTTCTTGGCCTGAGAGGTCAACGTTATCACTTAGCGTCACTCAGACAAGGCTTGTCTACATAGCACGTTTGATTTTATCAGTGAAAGCAAGGACTCTTTTAAAACGTTCATTGCTATATACTCTGCGAACAGAGGTACTTTTCTCACCCGCCGAGAAGCGAGAGATTTTTCTCTCGCTTCTCGGCGGGTGAGAAAAGTACCTCTGTTCGCAGAGTAATTGCTATATTGATTACATGACCTTTTAGGTCAAGTTTATTTTAGTCTCAAGAGACGTCTCAAGAGAGTTTGGATATTTTGAACTAGACGCTCTTATTAGGCCGTGAGTTCGGCTATTTTGGAGAAAAATTAAGAAATATATATTTTAATCTAATTTTTATATTTTATGTAATATCCTCCTGTTTTTCTCAAATTTCATTTGCATTCATAATATAATCATATGATTAAACAGAATATAACATCAATATCTTTTCACTCATGTCAGAAGTACATGTACATGTACTTCTGCTCATGTCTATCAATTTTTCAAAAACAGCTAGTCCGACTTCCCGCCCCAGATGCGTCTAGTTTTAAAGTCGGACCTCGCCTTCGGCTAGTCCGACTAATGATTAATAATACTTTACTCTTTTGCTAATAAACGTGCTTGCAAACTAAAAAGATAGTTCCACTAAACAGGACCTTATCTCCATTCTGATGTCACAGTAATGAAGATACGTTTGAGATTTGAATTGGAGAATAAATTTTGTCAGCTACTGTCAAGATTATGATATCACATAAGTTCTAGTTGCAATGCAAACAAGAACACTAGAACACGCTGAAATTAATCTACGTCGGTGAACAAAGGAAGTCGGAAAAGTGGACGAATTTATATAAGAATAATCATTGAAGATTAATAATTCTTTATTCTTATCCTTAAAACCAACCTGCTAAAAGAAAAAACATAGTCCCACTTTAATTAAAAAGCAATTTATGTGCCTGATTTAATCCACTCCCTGAACACTGATGTCATATATGTGATACGTTTGAGAATCTAATTGGACAACAAGTTTTCAACAATTATTGCATCAACATAGACTGAATGGCTAATGTGTGAAGTGAACTTCCTTGATACGATAAAACTATAGCAGAAGGTATAAAAACAAGACCTGCAGACCCTAGTTCGCCACTGTTGCACTTCCCTATCTTCTGAATTGAACGAAAATTAAGGTAAGAATTGATATACAGTAGTTATAGTCACTCCAGTAATAATTCTCAGCATGACAGGGGATACTAAGGATGAATCACTGCTGTCCCATCAGTTCATGAACGATGAAAATTTAACGTGTTTACTAGAGTGTGACTTTTTGGGTAAGGCAAACGTACGGTATAGGAAGAGGTTATGGTTAAAAGTTTAGCTTTTATAATTTAATTTTACCGTTTATCCTGCATCGTTTCTCCTATAATCTATAATTTTCTAAATTCTCTCTCCTCCTTTTTTTCTTCAAGCCTTCTTTATTCATGTCTTAAAATGGTGTTTGTTTTGTTAACTTCACAGATCAAACTGTAGTCATACTTGGTTAAGTATGGTGGCTAAGATTTTGCTTCTTCTCGTTGTGCCGTGTTTTCTCTTTATGCACACATATGCTACAACAAGGTGAGTGTTTTAGGTTCATGATTTGATAAATGATTTAAAATAAACTAGCCGGGAGTGAGTATCTCAGGAGCTACTTTAAAAATGCAAGTGATTATCATCCGTGAGACTCACAACATGCCGGAGAACGGTATTTTAAAATCACATTCATACGTTCATTCCGATTATATTTCTGATTTAGAAAACTATGATTGAATTCCCTAAAGCGTACGTTTGCTGGATCGAGCACGATCGAGCGCTTATCAGAGCGCGATTTAGACGAACACTCAAGATTTAAAATGAAAATTACCTATATAATTCATTTAGTAAAAATTAGTTAAACATCTTACAGCCAGGAAAATGAATGATGGCTACAAGTAGCAGGGAGATCATAATGATTGACGTGTTTTCTTGAATCTATATTTTCCGCATACATCAAAAGTTTACCCCAGCAACAACCTGTACGCAGATTTCTATTTTTCTAATATAGTTAACCAAAATATTTCGCATTGACTGTAGAGTGCTGATCGTTGGTCAAGTGATGCTTCAAGTTGAAGGTTGCCACGAAGTTCGAGCATGCTCGACAAGACTTAGAAATCCAGTCAGCAAGTAAAAATCAATTGACTCAGAGCATGACGTTTTTGCTATTTGAGATAATCATATTTTTATAAGAGATCCATTATAAGCAAAATCGATCGACTTTTCCATAACACACAATTTTGCATTATTAT